GCGCGACTGCATATCTGTATGGTGTCCATGATAGATCACCAGGCCGAAAATCTGATACCTTTGCATTGATCTTCGCCCACTGAAAACAGAGCGGCCTGACCAAGCGCTACGACATCTTGATCAAGAGCTTAAGGCGCTGGTATGTGGCCCGGCTCCCACGTCATTACGCCAACACGCGCCCGCCACTCACGCTGAGGGAGGTGATGCCGGCCTTCTGCAGCTTATCGGCCTGCGCCGCCAGCGCCGTGATGTCGTCGCGGTACGCGTTGATCTCGCCCACCGTGTCCTTGTGCCGGGCGAGCAGCGAGGCGGCGCTGGGCTCGTCGGAGCCGCAGTCGGCCGACGCCACCAGCGGCCTCTTCTCCTTCAGCCACGACTCGGCCTCGTTGGCGTCCGAGTAGAACTGCGCAGGCGGCGGGGTAACGCGCGGCCGACGTCGCCCGGCTCGGCCGACCAGGCGCCGGCAGTGCACAGCGCGTCTGATCACCACGTGAGACGAGACTGTGATCAGCGCTCGCGCCGGTACAGATGCAGACACGGAGGGCACATACGGACCGCACAGAGCGTCGTTCAGAGTTCCAGAAAGCAATAACACCACAGGACGCCGCGGAGTAAGCTGGATACCGCTGGCACCCGCCTACCAGCGTCGGGGGCCAGCCCACGGCTGGATCTAGTGCTTCGCAGACAGACGAAGGGGACAGACGTCAGTCGGCTGACTAGCCAGCACGGGCGGTCGTCCCAACGGGTTCCTTGAGGCGAGCCCGAGATTTCACCGATAGAGAGGGTGTTCCCCATATGCCCGGAGACGGACGGACGGGCCGTGGTGTGCCGTCGAAGGGAGCTCGGCCGCCCGGTCGCCGGGCCGGACTGACCTGGTAAGCCTCGGCGGCCTTGGCCAGCTGTCGGCGCCGCTGGGCGGCCAGCTCCTCCAGCTCGGCGTACTTCTGCTTCAGACTCACGATCCTGGGCCAGTGGAAACACGCCGTCACACGTCACCACTTCGTCACGTTGACCATGCGATCATGAGCGCGCCGCTGTTCCTGGTACTTGTGTCAGCTGCTCCATAAGGGCGTGTTCACAGGCAGCGGCCACACCAGACGTGGGTGGTCTGGTGACGTGAACCCACTGTTTGCCCGCGCCCCAACAGCGTCAAACGGTCCGTATCGTGACCCGCCCACCCGCGGCCGACTCCCAGACCGTCACGCGTAGGCCGGCGGCCGTGCGTCGGGCGCTCCTGCCGCGCCAGGACTGGCGACGAGCGCGGCGCGCCGGCCGGAGGCGTCACCTGGCGTGGATGTCGGCGCTCTGCGGGTGCTTGGCCTCAGTCAGCTGCTCGCCGGCTCGGCAGATCTTGTCGGTCTTGGGCCGCCGTACCCGCATCTCGTCCTCCAGCGCCTGCGCCAGGCTCGTGCGTTAGCGAGGAGCGTCGAACACGGCGGCGCAGGCCGGCTGCACCGCACGGAGGTTGCGAGACTGCATAATCGTCAGCGATGGACTGCCACATGCCGTCGAATTTGAATGCATTGATACCAAACACAATATGGGACAAGGGCAACAGGTAGTAGCGGATGACGGTCGGATCAAACCCAGCCAAGAGTCTTGCTGAAGACTTCCTGAAGACTTGCTTCGCCTTCTCAGCGTGAAACACAGACACCATGACTGTGGACGCATAAGCCAGCCGCAAGCAGAGTTGCAACTCTGTTGCACAGCGGACGTCATAACGAAGTAACAGGGAAGTTGGCAATTTACAGCTCGTTGCTCTGCCAGCGCGCAGCGTCCCTGCGAAAGGCTGGCATACCCCGGGCCACCGACTCCACAAACGCGTTACGACAGCACGCGACGCACAGCGGGAACGACTGGCCGACAACCAGTACATCCTGCCCCGAGCCTGCTCAGAAAAGCCCCTGGCAGAGCAGACAGCTGGCAGTTCTGCATGGGCGGCGCCGCCACCGCTGACACCCCTGTCGAGCTATACGGAGGACAGCGCGGACAGCCGAGCCGACGACACTGCGGCGCGGGCGGACGGCCACTGCCGGACCCGCCCGGCGGCTCACCTTATACGGGCTACCAGTGCTGCCACTCCCCTACCGCCAGCGGAAGAGCACGGGTCAGCCGTACAGCAGCGACGCGGCCCTGGCGCGCCCCTGTCCGCCCCAGCCCGGCACCACCCTCCCTCGCGGCTGGCGGCCACCACCACAGATCCCCAGCTCATGCCGAGCACAAGCCCGGCACCTCGCGCCAGCGCGCTGCTGGGGCTGCTCCGGGTCACGCGGCGTCACACACATCAGCACGGCACGCCGGATGTTTATCGTGCGGCGGATCGGGCATCGCTCACGCATAGACCGCGCGCCAGGCGGTCGCCGGTCCACCTGTCACGCCACCGCATGCGGCGCCGCTCACTGACCGCCGACCGGTACCTCAGCCACCACCTCGGCTGCCCCGAGCCTGGCTACCGTCAAACCTCCACCATCGACATCAGAGCCCGGGGGCCGGTCCTGTAGCCTGGGTGTCGGGGCACGTGTCTCGTCAACAGCACCACCGGCCGCACCGGAACCAGCCGCCAGCGCCTACCTTGTGCTTCTGCTGCATGGCGAGCACGGCACGCAGGTCCTTGGCGGTGATGCCGGCCGTGCAGATGCGCTGCTTCTCCACCAGCCAGGCCTCCTCGTCCTCACAGTCCTGCACGAACTGCAGATAGCTGCGCCACTCGTCGAGCCGCTCGCTGCGTCGGCCGCTCTCGTCCACTAGGCTGCGTCAGACCGGGGTCAGCCGTCAGTCAGCCGCCAGCCGCCAGCCGCCAGCCTCAGCTGTGAGCCGCCAGCCGCCGCGCCGGTACGCACCCACCACGGATGAGCCCAGTACCGGCATGGTGCCGACATCCGCCAGGTCGGTGGGACCGCCAACATCACAAAAGAGACCATTTGGCCATGCACAGGGCGGCCGGGCTAAGCTGGAGCGGCCCACAGCCGGCGCCGAGCGGCCGCCGTCCCGCCGCCGGAGGGCACATGCCACTCACTGTTTGTACTCGTCGTTGAGCGTCTGCAGCCTCTTCTGGAGCGCGGGCGTCTCCTTGTGTCCGGCGGCGATGAACTGGTTGGCCTGCTTGTTGAGCCGCTGGATGGTCTCGCCGATGCTGGAGATCTGCGACTCCATCAGGCTGTGCTTCTGGATCAGGTCCTCGACAGCCAGCAAGTGACCGGCCGCCGCCTCCGACTGCACCTGACTCTGTGGGGGAGGCCGGGGGCCGGGTCACGGCCGCCAGCTCGGACGGCGCGCCACAAACACGACAGCCACCGTAGGATCGTATCTACGGCGTGTGATGGCGCGACGCGCCTCTGTCCCGTCCCGGAGCCTGATGGCGGAGACAACGCACACCAGAGGTACTCATCCGGCACGAGGGGCACGCAGTGATCCCAACCCCCCCCCCCGCCCCTCTGTCGCTCGCAGCAACACTAAGCAGAAGGCTCGATCCATAAAGACGACCGATTGTTTTGCTGTCCTCAGACGGTAGCGGTTAGGGAGGAGGTCACGTACCTCCATGTCGCGGATGGTGGTCGTCACCGTGTCGATCTCCCGCAGGATCGTCATCAAGCTGGAGAAGCTGGACAGCGTCTGCTTGTGCTTGTAAGCAGCTGCAGCAGGTGCTGCCACCTGTTAGTGACCTGCTGCTCGCGGCTGCGCACCCGCTCCGCGCCGTGGTAGCCCTCCCGCTCCAGCTCGTCGGCCATGCTGACCAGGTCGGCGAACCGCTCCCTCTGGCGGACAGGACGGGCGGCATCTAGGTCAGCCCACGAGCTCTGCGGCGCCCGA